GGAAAAAGAATTAAATTATCATATATATATATATATATAACCACCCTTTCGTAACCTGAAATGGTGAAACCTTACTTACCAAGAACATAATTCCAGAAGACAACACTGTCTTGTTTTCCAAATTCACCATCATGTAGTTCACAACTTTGGACATGGTGAGGAATAGCATTGGGTAAGTGATGGGGTCTGGGCCCAAACATATCATGAAACTTGTGGGCAGAAGCTCTGATTTCTACATCAGTTTCGAGCTTACCGGTGAGAGCCATTCTTTCGACTTTGCAAACAAACAACTAATTATGAATTAGAGATGAAAGGTGAAGGAAATTCTATGGCCTTACAGGAGTACTGAAGGTTACGTACTGTAGGTTCAAAAAGATAAATAAATAAATAAATAAATAATAAAGCTAAATGAACTTCAACTATTTCACGATTTTTCAGTGTGTATACTTGAATTATTTTTATTTCAGTTTTCTTTTTAATACTTTTAATTTTTTAATTGTTTTTTTTAAACTTCTTAGCTGGACGTGCTTTTCATCATATTAAAATTAAAATTGAAATGTAATCTATAGTATGGGTACCACTCCAGCTAGACTATATTAATTTTATATTTTGGGAGATAAATCCCGCACCCAATAATAATGAAATAATTCAAAATTTTATAATAAATTAGGTGGTAGAACTAACATAAACTAATTTATTTTTAAAGACGATATTATAATTTTTAAAAATATTTATTTAAATATATTGTTATATTATTTTTAGAATATAATTTAAATAAAATAATTCAACAATTATTCAAATTTAATTTTGATACAAACTATTGTGAATAAAATGTTTATGTTATAAATTATTCAGCATTAAATAAGTATTATCTAAATTAATTAATTTGAATCTCGAGGTATAGTTAGGTCGTAAATACATTTTCTATTGAGCTATGTCTTGATTTGCTGGACTAATTATAGTTATTTAACCTTATAAGAAATAAAATTAATTTGAAAATCAGACAACTACTAGTCTAGTGGTTCTCAATTCTCATTGACTTGGCATACGAAAACATATATGGTACACATAAATTGCAATAAACACGTGCGATATTATGGTACACATAAATTGCAATAAAAAAACACGTGATATAAAAAAAATATAAAAAATAAACATATAAAATATAATATAAATATAAACATTTTGATATAGTAATTAAGTATAGAAAAAAAATTTATAATTTAATTGTATATATATAATTAGAATAATTAGAAATATAGAATTAATTTGAATTGGAAAAGAAAAATAAAGATATTATCAAAATATTCCTTACGAGATGATTGATCCACCAAATAACCTAATATTAAAAAATTAATATAAATATTAAAAATATTAATAATTGATAATAATTAAAATAAGCAAAACAATTAATTATAAACAATAGTAATAAAAATAAGAATAAGTAATAAAAAAAACTGAATCATATAAATTCACTCAAAAAAGTTTTATGAAAATTTACTATTTTGATAACTTATTTTAGTTTATTTATTTAGTATTTATTTATCCATATATTTTGTCTATTTGTATAAAAGTTTTTGCCTTTTGACTTTAAATGAAATCTCTATTTTTCTTTTTTTTTTCCTTATATTTTTTATTTTTAATTTCATTTCTTGAAAAAAAAATATTTGTTTAAGAGGCATTATGATGTATTGTGGTACCAAGGTCCATTATTATAATTATTGTGGTACCAAGGTCCATTATTATAATTGTTAGGATTTATTAGATTAAATTCAAATGGACAGAATTTACGAGTAGAAATTATAGAAGATTTTTGTGGAAATAATAATAATAATAGATTCAGACAAGATTTTTCAATAATTAGTTGTACCGTAGATTTTTCAATTATTAATTGTACTTTAGATAAAAAGTGAACAACTGTTTGGTACGAAGATTATACTTTATGCTTTGTTTGGATAGAGGGAGCATGTAAAATGAGAGAGTAAAATATTATTATTCATTTTACCTCCTTATTTTACACTCTTTGATTGGTTTGAAGGGAAAATAAAAAGGTGGGAGTAAAATAAATTTATTTTACTTAGTTATACCTTTATTGTTTTTATTTTCTCTCATTTTAGGGAGTAAATTGGAGGACCTAAAATAAAGATATTTTACATTCATTTCTTATTTTACCTCCTTCCTAAATAGGGTATTTTGCATATCCCAATAAACTTTCACTTATTATTTTACACCTCTCCTTATTTTACATCCAATCAAACAAGCTCTTAGATTTTTGCATTTAGGATCACATTTTACTTTCTTTGGGTGTGGTGAGAAAGATTATTAAATTAAGGTAAGATAAGTTAAAATATAATACAGTAAAATAAAATCAAGTATGACAAAATAACATAAAAATTTTCTTTATATTTACAAGAAACTAGCTTAATAAAGGCTTTACTGACGTTGATTCCTAGAATCATTAGAATGTTTATTTTGCTTTGAACTCGAATGTGTTGTTTAATTCTGAATTTGGATCGATAGGTTATTTTTGATTGTAAATCTACTATAAAATTTAGGCATGATATTGTAGTCAAATGAGTTAAGAAGACAAGCTAATATATGTGCTCGTTCTTTTACTTAAGCATCCTATCAACATATTTTTTTCTACATTTGAGTCTTAAGATATTATCTTTCCGTGTCTTTTGGAGTTTTTTTTTTTTTTAAATAAAGAAATGGATAATGCATTATTATCCTTAAAAAAAAAAAAAAAATTCACTAATCTTGTATCGTTTGTTATTGGTATAAGGCATTTTTTTCTCCTATTTTCTAACTCCTGCTTATATTAGCATACTTAGCCAGTAATAGAATATAAATATTTTACCAGAAATTTAACCGTAATTTATATATAAGGCCTAATTATATTGTAGGATCAAATATTATCATTTGAATAGAATCAGAATAGGATTAGAAGATCTTATTCCTATTCAAATAGACATCCAATAAGGAATTCACCCACAACTCCTCTTTTTTCTTTCCCTTTTCATCCATGTCTTACGTATCTCTACATGAACAGCATGGAAGGATTTTTTTCTCAATCTATCAGCTAAAAATAAAAATAATAATGAAAAAGATTTTGAGGGCATGGACCCCTAAGATTGTCCAAGAATTAGTTCTACGGTAGGTAGAAAAGTAGGTAATCTTAATTAATTGTCCTGAAGATCAGTTACATACATTATGTTGGGATTGAAAGCAACTTATTATTATATGTGGTTTGAGATAACGTTTTAGATAGATGGATAAACTTAGTTAAAGGAAAGGATTATTGAATTAGCCAATTAGATGTGCTGTGATTGGTCTTTCTACCTCTCGTAAAAGATGTAAGGAGTGATCGATTTTAAGTCTTCTCTATCATAAAAGTTATCACCAATTTGGTGAATGTCATTCAAAGGGAAGGGCTATTCCTGCTGTGTAGCCCACGATGTTTTTCCAATTCCATTAAACCTTCCACATATAAAAAAAGGATTATTGAATTAAAGTAGATATGGTAAAATATAAGGTCATTATATCCTTTTTTATGTTTGAGAGAAAGGTAAAGTAAATAAAGCTTTACTAATTTTGTATCGTTTAATTGTTATTTGGTGGAACACATTTTTTTTCGTACTCTCTAACTCCTAGTTATATTAACATACTAGTGTATATTTTGTGAAATAATAATAATAATAATAATAATAATAATAATAATAATAAAGACTTGGGGTTCATTTGTTTGAGAGAAAGGTAAAGTAAAGTAAAGCTTTACTAATGTTTGTCCTCGTTTAATTGGGTTATTTGGCTGGAACACTTAAATTTTTTTTTCCGTACTCTCTAACTTCCTAGTTTATTAACCATACTAGTGTAATATTTTGTGAAATAATATAATAATAAATAATCATAAATAATTAATATAAACAGACTTTGGGGTTCATTGGGAAAAAAAATTACCCTAATAAATAATTGCACCTTCTATCTATTTTCTCTATGGCTCTTTCTTCCTAGTTATATTAACATACTAGTGTATATTTTGTGAAATAATAATAATAATAATAATAATAATAATAATAATAATAAAGACTTGGGGTTCATTGGAAAAAAAATTACCTAATAAATAATTGCACCTTCTACTTAAAAAATTTGTACCTTAGAAAAAAAAAAAAAAGCAATCGTAATTGTCTAGAAGATTAGTTACACCACTTTGTTGGGATTGAAAGCAACTTATGATATTTTTTTATTGGACGGTGTTACTTCAAGAAAGGCTTACCTATAATTTATTACCATATCCATAAATCAAACTAATTAAAAGCAAGTTTTTGATTGTCGCGAGAGATCTCTGACCGTTGGGAAAAAAAATGAAAAAAATACTTGTTTAGACTAGATTTATAGTCCTTCCCATTTGCCATTTTTAAAAAATTGTTTCATTCAAAACCTAGTCTTGTCCTCCCATCACTTTCCCTGTCTCTGCGCTTCATCCATAATCAGTGTGATTGAATGGGTTTTAAGTTGTACGGATTCATCCATATTCCTCTCTTCCCCTAAATGGTATGCAATAGTTCGATGCTTATGCTCCATTCAGTGTGATCTACAGAACATGTTATCTATATTTCTTTATAACTGAAAGGCAATCTACGATTAATAATCAGATGGCTATTATTAAAATAAACCAATAGCTGAAATAATTTGAGCTTATTTAACGATTGGCCAGCTACATCAGTATTGGCAATTTGAACATGAACCTGTTAGTGACAAAAAACTGTGTGAGATTATGATCCCATTAATGACTAGGTGGTCTCAGTGATTCCAAGTTCCTTGCTAAGTAGCCTGATGCGTCAAGCTTTTCAATGATACATACATATATATGCTATGAGCCAAAAATCTCTAAATAAGCTCAGGTACAACACAAAGACATCCTTAATAAAACTCACATCTATTAGTACATCAATAAAAACCACATACAATAAAAGTTTATATAATCAATAAAAACCACATACAATAAAAGTTTACATATATATATATATATATCGAAGGATCTAAGGATTAATAAAATCCAGAACCTTTTTTTCCTTTATTTATTTCATATTGCACTGTAGGCTTAATCACACGTATAAATAGCAAGCAAACAGTTTATTGATGGATAAGGCTGGGAGTTCATGCTTTGGTAAGATGGGCATCAATATCTTTGGAGACATCAAGTAAAAATTTAACTAGAGAGTGTGGGTCTGGAATATCTTTATTCAGCTTCTCATACTCCAGTGTCCAGTGCGCTACACTTCCAGTACCCTTCGGTGTAGCTTTAACGGTGATTTTGAAATTCTTATACTCCTTCAGTAAATCTCCTTCAATAACTCTCTTCAATAAATTCCTTCAATGACTGTGAAGGTGGTAGAATTCAAATGTTTTCAGCTTCTCATACTCCAGTGTCCAGTGCGCTACACTTCCAGTACCCTTCGGTGTAGCTTTAACGGTGATTTTGAAATTCTTATACTCCTTCAGTAAATCTCCTTCAATGACTGTGAAGGTGGTAGACAAGTTCACATCGTCTATCTTTTCAACAATCTCTTTCGCAACTTTAGGAACTCCATCTGTTTGAATTTTAAGGGAAAAATAAATAAAAAAAAAAGTCACAGAACTTAAAAATTATCTTGACTTAATAATTCAAAACCGTAATGTTAAGAGTTCAAATCTCCATAATGTATTTAAGATAAGAAAAGGGTGGAACCTTACCATGAACATAATTCCAGAAGACAACACTCCCTTCTTTTCCAAATTCACCATCATGTAATTCACAACCTTTTATGTTGTGAGGAGTAGCATGTTTTACGTGATGGGGTCTAGACCCAAACACATCATGAAACTTATCCGCAGAAGCTTTGATTTCTACATCTGCTTCGAGCTTACCGGTAAGAGCCATTTTTTTTCAAATTTGCAAAACAAGCAACTTATCAATGAGAGATGGATCGGAAGATGAAGGAAATGCTTTGGCCTTGACGTGCTTTTATAATGGGCAAGAGTCAGGGGCAGCATGGCTGCATGACGTAGGTCTGAACAGATATATAAATAAATAAATAAATAATGAAACTAAAACAAATTTAATTATACACATACAAGTGTCTCAAATGTTGAAGTCACTATCTCCAAACTCAGCAGTTCAGTCACTTGTTGAAAGATTCAGCGATGAATCGCGAAATAAAATATTTTGTATCGAAAAAAAAGTAACTTTAATTATTTCACAGGCTTTTTTTTTTTTTTTTTTTTTTTTGGGTTTTTTTTTTTGTTTTTTTTTTTTTTTTTTTTTGCCAGAAATAATTAGTTAAATAATAGCATACATACTGGAAATTAAAGAAGATAATATTGATTGATGGCTGATTACCTATTCTAATTGTTAATACTAAGGTTGTTTTTTTTTTTTTTTTTTTTTTTTGAAGATAATTATTTCATAATAGAATACATACTGGAATTAATAATATTATTACTATTACTATTCATTTTTAATATAAGGTTTGTCTCTAATAATTCATGCTCTTGACCTTCTCTAATTATCGTTCAATTTTTTAGTTGGTACTCGTGATTTTCATGATATTAAATTAATGTAAAGTTCAATTTATTGTCAGTTGATATCTGTGATTTTAATGATATTAAAATAATGCCGGTTCAATTTATTAATATTTTTAAATATTATCATGCATGAAGTGAAGAAAAATATATACAATATTAGTAAATCACATGAACTATATATTTTGAATTTTGAATGCAGCAAGCCAGTGTTTTATAGAGTTTCTTGTGTAGTTCTGATAATTATACTTGCCCAGTTGCTGGAAATGTTTTATATAATTCTTGTGTTTTATATAATTCTGATAATTATATTATCATTCTCAAGTTATCCACCATCTAAAAATTGTTTTCAAAACTAACACTTCTCTTGTTTTTTTTTTCTCTCTTTAATCCAAATAGTATAAAGTTGAGTCTGTTAGGCTCGTAATTAAAACCTGTAATTTTGATCAAACTTTAACTCAAAATAATTAAAAATATTCAGAATATTAACATTTGAATGTTAGGTGGAAAAAAGTTACTATTTTTAACCTCTGTATTTTGCCAAAATATACAATATTATCACTGCATTTTTTAATAATAATTTTATTAGTATGTTTTTTTCTTATACTACTTTGTCAAAACAAACCAATCTGTTTATGTATTTATTTATTATTTTATCTTTATACTTTGCAAAAAATTTGTTAATTTATCTTTGTATCTAATGAAAAATATATATATAAAAATAATAGAATGATAAGTATAACAATGTAACAGAACAAAATATAAAAGATAATCATATATTTTAACCAAAAGCGTTGAATTTTTTAGATTAATTTTTTACCCTAAGTGGTGTAATTTTTTAGATTAATATCCTTTCGGAGCTTTGCTTCTTATGAACTCGACAACATCTTTTTAGATTATTTTAATAATCTAAGTGGCCCGTGTGATTAAAAAGTTAATTCTAATTAAAATAGTCCAAGATGATAGTTGTTGGGTTTAATAAATAATGACCAGTTAGAGTTTTAATTCCCTTCCTCTGTCTTATAAAAGAAAAAGAAAATCAATAGCTTAATTTAAGAAAAGAAAACAGAGAGTATGACGGCTACTTCAAACACATACGGTGATAGGTTATTTGAGAGAGCGTAAAAAGAATACTCCCGGGCAGTTGATAATTCTCTGACCATTAAGAGAGTACTTATGGACAAAAGGCCAGAGTGAAGAAATGTAGATCTACTGTTATGGTGAGAATTAGAATTGCCGCGATGAAATAATCAATAGCTATAGATCAAGGTATGGATCAAGATACGCTTCTACTTATTGTGTATATTTATTAAATAAATTATATAAACAATAAAATTTAAACTATATTAAAATTTATTCAACACATCTTTCTCGAGGTAGGTTTGCGGTTTTCAACTGCAGGCCCCACAAGTTACGGAAGCTTGATAGGCATGGCCCTACATAGTTTTACTTTTTTGCACTCAATTTTAATGGATTCTTTTTTTTTTTTTTTTTTTTAGGTTTGATTGTTTTTTGTTCGTTTTTGCTCCCCGACGGGTCGAGGCCCCCAAGTTACGGAAGCTTTTGTATTTTAGGTCCTTATTCCGGCCCATCTTTTTCTAACATTATTTTCAGTTTGTTTATGCTTGTTTTTTTTTCGCATAGGCTTCGAAACTTTTAATTGGATTTACGTTTTCCTTTGCGCTCTTCTCGGTTGTTTCTTTTTTTTCGGTATTTTTTTTTCCGGGTCGGGCTTGGTGTTTCTGGTTGTTGGCCCGTCTGTGGGTTGCCTGTTCTTGGCGCTCTTGTTTGCCGCCTTCACTTTTTTAGCTTCCCTACTTCGACGTGTGTCTGGGGACCTCATTTGCTCCCATTTCTCACCCCCCCCACTGTGTTTTCCATTTTTTTTTCGCGCTGTGTTTTTGTTTATTTGTTGTTTTTGTTTTTTCTTACTCGGATTGGGTCCGCCGGACTTTTCGTTTCCTGTGGATACGCGATCCTCAGGTTTTTGCGCCCCTCATTGACTGGAGTGGCTTGTTGTTGGTTCGTATGGTTGTTTTGGGGGTGTTTTTGTGGTTTTTTTTTCTTTGTTCACTTATTATTTGTATTCTCTTCCTGTTCTCTCTGGTGTTCGGTTTTAGTCCTGCTGTCGTTTGTTGCCGCCTTGAGTTCTGCGCACCCTTTTTTTGACCGAATATTTACCTGCTAGATCCGTGTCAATACTGTGCATAAGTGGTCACGTACCTGTGATTTGCCTCGCCTATTCTATAGCGAATGTAAAACTGCATTACGTGAAGATCCCACATCGGTGATCCGTTTAGTATCATTTTTTCGCCACCCAGACGTATATTTTTTGCAACAGAGTCTCTTTTATTTTGCGGTGCTGCTTCAATGGACGAGTGTTCGGGTGCCCTAATGGGTACTTTGTTTATGTGAGCAGTTTCTATTTCTAGACCGCCAGCAGTATCCGCAATATTTGTTGAGGCTTAGCGGCGGGTGGGTTTGAGCGTTCTTTGGCATTATCTTGGCGGGCGCCGGTGAGTGCTTGTCCGCTTAATTTGAGTAGGTGTGTTTGGTATTTGTGAATTTATTCTTTTTCGGTTGTGAGGGCCTTATTTGTTTTGTGATTGGTCTGAGAGCTGTTATTCTCTTAGGATGTGGGGCCGTTGATATTTCATTTGTTTTTTTAGTGGTTTTGGGTGTTTTTTCCGGTGTGATTCTTAATATTACGGTGTGATTTGATTGTCTGGACATGTTGCGTGAATTGCTGGGTTTTGATCTTGATATTCAGTTTTGATGTGTTAGGTCTGTTTTTGTTTGTTTCGTTTTATTGTTTGTTTTCTGCTGTACTATGGAGCTGGTATATCTTTTTATTAATTTTTGTGTATTTGTTATGGTGTGTTTGTCATTTGAGCTGTTCTTTTGTTATTGGACTGGGCTAGGTCATGTTCTTCTTAGACTATCTACGTGTGTTGCCCGTCTTAGCTGATACATGTCTTTTTTATTTTTTAGATGGTTTGTTAACGCAAGAAGTTCATCAGCAAAATCCATTTTTGATTCTGGCACATTTGAGCGCTGGCTGATTCTTATCTGAGAGGTGACTTGGTGTGAGGTAACGGGGAGTTGAGTGTTGGTGTTTTTTTTTTGAATAATGGTTGGTTTACCGTGTACTCTGATTAGTTTTATTTATTTTTGTTAATGGGGAGGCGCGTCGGTATCCGACGTTACTGTTGCCTTACGGTCTGAGACGTATTGTGATATAATGATTTATTGCCTGATGATATGCCATACTGGGGTTTGAATCTGTTAACCATATTTCTGTCGTTTCGTGTTTATTTGTGTGGCCGCCCGCCCTGGCTCCGTGCCCTTGTTTCCCTGCCCTTTCCTTTGCTCCTGCCCAGCAATGAATGAATTGACACGTATCTTTCTGTGGTATTCCTGTCCGTTTAGTCGCCACTTGTGCTGGAACATAGCTGGTAGCGTTTGTTCCAGTTTTTCTTCGGTGAAGTGAACCCTCTTTTATGCCTTTCGTTTTACGACGTATAATGCAGTTGACCGTTTGCTGGAATCTCAAATTACTATTTCGCCCACTTTGCTTTCCGAATTCTACTCGAGCAGATGGTAGCTGCTGGCATCAGTGGAGCTGCAGGGCTGGCTTGGACCCGGACTCATACTTATTATGTCCACGACATGTAGCTCCTTGAGAGTGCGGGTCGTTTTGACTCACATTCCTTTATTTTCTTGGGCTTGTTTGTTTTTTTACTTGTTCCGAGTTTCATCCGTTTCGGTTGCCTTTGGTAAATCTGTCTCTTTTTATTGTATATTCATCAACTGTTTAAGCTTATACGAATACTCCTTTGTGCACATATCACCTTACTATTACAATTTGCACCTGTGGCTCGATGACTTTAACTCTAAACTATTCGTTGAATTCATGGTTTGCTCTTACAGAAATTTTTGGGATGCACACCTTGGCTGAATTGACACCTTGTATTTTTTTTTTTTTCTTTTTTTTTTTTCTCTTTGTAAAAGCACATACCCTTGTTCTTAAACGTGTGCTTTCTGTATTGCACTTATAATGCATTAAAAGCTTTACATATAGTAGATAGGCTGTCCATAATATAAGTATTCCCATACGAGTATCTGTTTTCTTCTTGGCCCTCGTACATTTGGTTCTGTTGGGGTTTTTGCTCGTTTCTTTGATCTAAATTTATTTTCTGTTGGCGATAAGTTGTGATATGGGTTGTTAGTAGTTTATCTGTGTGATATCAGGACTTTTTGTGTGTTGGTCTCGTTTGTTTTCCAGTTTGCTCTTCGCATACTCTCTTTTGTACCGTCCCAGCTGTTTTCTTCTTGGTTGTCGTTGCCGTATTATTCGTATTCTTGCTGTTGTATTCGGGTTATACAGTCTCCTATTTTTTCCCCATCACAGAAGTACCAAACTCG